CTGGAGAGGACGCAGGTTTAAGGCGCCCCCTGCTGGCTGCTGGAGAGGACGCAGGTTTAAGTTCCGTCTGCATGGTTTCACTCGAATAATAATAATATCCGTTTTACGACCTGCACGCATGCTCACTTCCTGTCAGCTCTACAGTAACGTTAGCTTCACCGCTGATCTCCGTACAGGCGTTCCTGCTGAGTCTGCGAGGGTTCAGGCTTTAGGGCTGACGTGTAGCCCGGAGGGTGACATCAGCATGTTGTCGCCACAGACGGCCAATAGCAGCAGGACAGCAGAGTACCTGCATTCACCTGCAGGTGTCTTTTGTTTCAGGCTCGGAGAGTTCAGCCGTCTGTTCCTGAACTTTCTCTGCTGATTGACGGCAGCTTCACCTCCAATCAGAGCCGCTGGCAGGACGCTGGCTCCGCCCACAGACCACCTCCTGCTCCTGCTGCTGCTGACAGGAAGTCTGCTCCTCCAACCGGAAACTCCTCAGCTCCCAGACCTGCTCCTCCTCCTCACCTCCACAGCACCCCCAACTCCATCCAGCAGCAGCCCTGCACCTGCTGCTCCACCCACACCTATGACTGCACCTCCATCTTCTCCCCAGGACTCCCGCCTGGTGCAGCTGCTCCTACACCTGCTGCTTTCTCAAACCACACTCCTCCTCCCTCCAGTCTCCACCCTGCTCCTCCTCCTTCCACTTACCATCCAGTTGCTCTTTCTGTTCCTCCTTCCCGCAGTCGCGGCACTCCTTTGTCCTTCCATCACCATACTCCACCTCCCCCCTCAGCTCCTCCTCCCTCCCACACCCCATCCTCTCCTCCCTCCAGCAACCACCACACTCCTCCTCCCTCCACTCGCCTCTCTGCTCCTCCTCTTCCATCCCTCCTCCCTCCGCCTCCTGCTGTCCCATGGTTTGGTGACTCCCCCTCTCCTCACCCCTCCCGTCCAGCAGCAGACCCTGGATCTCCCCCGTGGATCCCCCGTCCCTCCTGTGTGAATCAGTGCTGCGGTCAGGTGGGAGGAGTCACCCGGTCTGATCCCTACCAGCTCCTCCTCCAGCAGGACCGACAGCTTCGCCTCCTGCAGGCTCAGGTAACAGATTCATCACGTGACTCCTGGCTCGGACATTTCCCACTGCGTAAGGGGGTCGGGTTCTCATCTTTACTGCGTCCAATCAGAGTGTTTTTCTGCGTTTAGGTCCAGATGTTGCTGGAGGCTCAGGGGAAACTTCAGTCCTCCGGTCGGCAGGTCGACACTCAGATACCCAGGAGCACCGCCAGCATCGCCGTGGGGACAGGTGAGGCTGTCAGGACGGGTGTTCCACCTGTTACCAGGTGAAAGTCAGCATCACACATCTCACTCTCTGGTTTGCAGGTGCCAGTCTGTTCTGGGGGGATCCTGTCCAGCCCCTCCCTCATCAGGAAGTACAGGCTCCTCCCTCATCCTCCCCCAGCCCACCCCCCTCACACGCCAACCTGTCTGTCATGAGGCCTGAGGGCGGAGCTGAGGACAGTCACATCACAGGTCAGGAGGCTACCTGCTCCCCCTCTGGTCAGCTCAGGTGAGACTCATCTGCTGTTCGTTTCTTTACACCTGCAGCTACAGATCTGTTCACGAGGACCGGAGACTTGGCGTTAGAGACGGGAGACTTGGCGTTAGAGACGGGAGACTTGGCGTTAAAGACGGGAGACTTGGCGTTAAAGACGGGAGACTTGGCGTTAGAGACCGGAGACTTGGCGTTAGAGACCGGAGACTTGGCGTTAAAGACGGGAGACTTGGCGTTAGAGACGGGAGACTTGGCGTTAAAGACGGGAGACTTGGCGTTAGAGACCGGAGACTTGGCGTTAGAGACGGGAGACTTGGCGTTAAAGACGGGAGACTTGGCGTTAAAGACGGGAGACTTGGCGTTAAAGACGGGAGACTTGGCGTTAAAGACGGGAGACTTGGCGTTAAAGACGGGAGACTTGGCGTTAAAGACCGGAGACTTGGCGTTAAAGACCGGAGACTTGGAGTGTGACTCGAGCTAAAGCCTCCCCTGTTTGGTTGCAGCGGTCTGCAGAGTCCGGTTCTGGGAGAGAGTGTCAGCATGTACGAACCCGCAGACGACCAGCAGAACTTCTACCACGACCTCATGGTAACAGTCGGTCACATGATGCAGTCAAACAGGTAGGATATTGATTATTTGATCGATGACCTGGTGACTCGTCCTCAGGATCAGCTGACCAGCCGTCTTCAGGAGTCAGACAGCAGACAGGAAGAGGAGGAGGAGGAGGAGTCCAGCCTGTCTGTGGTCCCTGACCGCCCCCAGTCCTCCCACTCCTCCCGGTCCAGGAGGAAGCAGCAGGGTCATGGATCCGACCCGGTGGTCAGCGCCACCTTGCGGCAGCTGCGGCAGCTCGGAGTCGACGTGGACGAAGATCTGACCGAGTCTGACAGGAGAAAACACCAGACCGTGGAGAGCAGCAGGTACGGACCTCACCTGGTCACACCTGCTATCACGTGATTCGGTCAGCCTCCAGGTTCTCACTGTGTTTGTTTGTTGTCAGCACTCTGGCGAGCATCAGCCCGGCAGCGGTTCTGTCCAGACTGAGCGTGTCCGAGCCGTCGGCCAGCTCTCTGTACCCGGGAGGCAGCGTGGATCTGAGTCTGGAGGCAAACGCCATCGCCCTGCGCTACCTGAGCGACTCTCAGCTCAGCAGGTTGTCTCTGGGGGGCCACGCCCCCCTCCCAGCCCCCGCCTCCTCTAACGACACCCTGATGTCTCCTAGCAACATGTCCCTGGCGACAAGGAAGTACATGAAGAGGTACGGCCTGATCGAGGAGGAGGACGGCGAGGCCGAGGAGGAGGAGGCGTGTGCTCGCCAGCCGCTAACCGAGGCTCTAAATGTGAAGCTCCTCCCACAGAGTCAGCTGATCAGGGACCTGCGGCCAAAAATGCAGATGTTAGCCGGCGGCACCAAACCCAGCAGCAGCGACAAGGAGAACTGTTCCAGCAGGCGGACATCTTTAGTGAGGGCGAGCAGCCGCCAGACAGAAGGGTCAGTGGGAAACATCCTAGACCTGAGCCGCCTGAGACAGCTGCCCAAACTGTTCTGACACCCGAGAACCAGCGGTCTGAAACCTGCTGGCGACTTTAAAACTGTTATTTTTTAAATGGAGTCTGGTGCGTCTGAGGTGCTCGGTGTGGAAACACTCAAACTCTTCTGAACCAGCGGTCTGAAGGTGCTGGAAGATTTTAAAAACTGTCCTATTTTAAATGGAGTCTGGTGTGTTCAGTATGTAAAGACTCTGCTGGTTCAGACCCTGTGTGTCATGGTCAGACTGGTTTTACTGGAAATCTGCCTCCTTTAGTTTCTCTGCTTTTTATCAGGTTTGTGTTTATGAACTGTTTCTGTGTTTGATCTTTTGTCACTTCCTGTTTTTATGTGAAATGTCTTTTGCACAGATTTTTTTTTTTTTAATTTATGACAAATAAAATTGATAATACTTTTAGTACCAGAGTACATGTTTATATCAGAATGTTTAACAGCATGTGGGATACTTCGACAAAACACTTCTAATAATCAACCTCTGTGGACAGAAGTTTTAAAAAATACGTGTTTTAAACTTGGTGTCTCCTAAACCTCATTGAACCCCCCCCCCCCCCCCCCCCCGCCTTCAAGGCTAATTTCTTTTAAAACCTGCACCCTGTTTTCTCATGTTATTGTCTGTATGTGACTAATGGAAACCCTTTTTAAATTTGTCCAGTATTGAGCAGCAACGCAATCCAACACAGTGCGTCCACTAAAGAGCTTGTTTTTCCCGCTGACCGGTGTTTAAAAGTGTCTGATGGAAAGGACCCCTGCAGAGAGACAAGAGTAAACACAATCACAAACTGATCGATCCAGAGAGGTAAAATCACTATTTTTATCACTGGAGTCTGGCTGCTTTGAAGAGAGCGTTATAGCGACGGTTTCTGGTTAAACAAAAATATCTTGCTCTTTTAAAGGTCTCTCTCTGCAGGGATCCTTTCCACGATGCTGTCAGACACCAACAGTGTGAGCCTGTCAGCGGCAACGAGCTCTGTAGCGGATGGACTTTGACAGCAGCTTGCTCGCTCAGTACCAGACCCGTTTGAAAAACTGTCGTCCCGGTTAGTCACATAGACACAAAAACATGGGAAAATAAGGTCCAGGTTGAATAAAAGCTGCCCTTTAACCGCCCCAGAGCAGCTGGATTATCCTCTTTCTGTCACAGGCGGAGCTGTCGGGGTCTATTAGACTAAAAATAATGATGAGTCTGGCTTCAACTCTGATTTTTAGGAAAATCAAACCCAGACTTCCTGAGTATTTTCTTTTAGTAAGTTTAATCCATTTATCTCTATAACTGATGAGCCCCACTTTGTTATAATTCTACTGTAGATGTGATCGGCTCATTTTGTTAAAAACCTTGTTATGCTCATGTCCCCTCGGGGCCCCGGTAAAATCAATCCACCTTAACAAACTCATCTGTTTACTAGTTAAAGATTCCCAGAAACAGCAGCTGTGGACGGCTGACGGTCCTGATCCCGAGGACAAACTTTACATTTTCACCTCACCAGTAGCAAGTACGGAGATCCTTTACTACAGTAAAAGTACTAATACCACAGTGAAAGTACTCCACTACAAGTCCTGCATGCAAGCCTTACTTCAGTAAAGGTATGGAAGTATTATCAGCTAAATGTACTTACAATATAAAAGTAAAAGTACTCATGTTGTAGTAAAATGTTCCTGTCAGTGTTTCAATATTCCTTCTGCCTCTCAGAGTAGAAGTGTGAAACATCAAATTTGTACGTAAGTGCAGTAGTCAGTAAATTTACTTTCCACCACAGCCAGTGTGTCAAGGACGGAAGAAGTTTCCTGTGTGGTGGTGATGATGATGATGCAGGTTACTGCCCCCTGCTGGTCAGACGTCCGTCCTGCAGCGGTGACAGTTATTGATTAGTGATCAGACGTCATGTGGCACCAGCTGCTGAGCGGCTGCACGTTTCCTGGAGCTCTGAGCTGTTGACGAACACACGATCAATGTCTCAAAGGTTGCTGTGGTGTTCCAGTGCTCTGCAGGACACTGACCTGAGTTCAGCTCAAACTGCTCACATCTGTCTGAGCACAGGCCGCGCTCTACCTGTTCAGGTAAGAATTTAACAGCTAGTCTTCCTCCTGGGGTTCAGGTGAATACTGAATGTGTTTGTCAGGTGTTTCTCTTCCTGGTCGTCTGTGAGAAACATTTAAAAATCCTCGTTTGTGTTTTTCCACCTGTTTTACATGTTGTTTTGTCTTTCCTGCAATGTGTGAATCAGCTTTAAACAACATTTAAAGGAGAAATATTAGAAGTCTTTAATCTGGAGCGTAAAATCTGAAAAGAGTTAATTTATTCAGATTTAATGCAGTGATTATATTTAGGGTTGATTAATGTTTAAAAGTGGAATTTAAAGTCTTTAAAGCGACCGAGTTTCATCTCAGTGTCCTTGTTTGTTTTAGAGCAACAAAAAATCTGCAGAATTCAGACAAACTTTGTTTTAAGGCTTAATCTGGAGAAACTTAAAGTTGCATTTAAAATCATAAATTTATCAGATTTAGTTGCAGAGAAAATGAAAGATTTGCAGATAAACTGTGGGGTTTGATGAGTAACTGAGCAGAGTGTGTAGGTGGGTGTGTTTGTTTGGTGTGTCGCTGCAGGTATTGATGATTTCCAGCTGAAACGTTTCGCCGAATCTCCCGTTTTAAAACAAACGGACAAACCTTATTGACAAGAAGAAATAATCTCATCTATAGAAATAGAACTAACTGATCTGATCACTACTTGGCTTCAGATATTAGGGGTGTGACGAGACCCTTAACCCACGAGACGAGATTATATTATTTGTGTGAGTCTTCAGTGAGACAGCTTTTTCCCTGACGAGAAATATCGTCATAATTTAATCTCGTGAGATCTTGTCAAGCCCTATCAGATATTGATCCCGACTGACCTGGTTTTCCCTCTGAGATTTAAAGCTTCATCATGAGGACTGCCGATTGGCTGTTGTCTCTGGCGTCCTTGCTGCTCATCTCCTCTGTCCGTCCGGACATCTGCAGCGCCAAACCCAAAGACCTCGCCCTGGAGCCGCGATGCATCTACCGCAGCCCCGAGGCCCCCACCACGGAGCCCGAGCCGATCCCCGAGTCCACCAACCCCCGAGTGTGGGAGCTGTCGAAGGCCAACAGCCGCTTCGCTCTGTCGCTCTACAAACAGCTGGCCCTCAGCAAGACCCCCGAGTCCAACATCTTCATGTCCCCCATCAGCATCTCCACCGCGTTCGCCATGACCAAACTGGGAGCCTGTAACCAGACACTGCAGCAGATCATGGAGGTCAGAAAGAGAAACCCTGTTCAGAGTTCATCACCACAACCTGATTGTGGAGTCTGCCGGTCTCAGCTGCTGTTTTCTGTCTGCAGGTCTTTAAGTTCGACACCATCAAAGAGAAGACGTCGGACCAGGTCCACTTCTTCTTCGCCAAACTCAACTGTCGCCTGTACAGGAAGAAGGACAAGACCACCGAGCTGATCTCCGCTAACCGCCTGTTCGGAGACAAGTCTCTGATCTTCAACGAGACGTATCAGAACATCAGCGAGACGGTGTACGGAGCCAAGCTGCTGCCGCTCAACTTCAGGGTACCATGTGATCCAACATGTGAACCACTCAGCGTTCATATTCATAGCAATCATTGAACTGATACATGAACTATTCTGGTTCTGTGCTGCAGGAGAACCCAGAGAAGGCCCGGGTCACCATTAACAACTGGATCTCCAACAAGACAGAGAACCTGATCCAGGACACGCTGCCATCAGGGGCGCTGGACTCCAACACGATCCTGGTCCTCGTCAATACCATCTACTTCAAGGTACTTTTCTCCCAGCAGCCTCCTGTTGTGTCGGTCTGTTTAAGTAGTAACACCGAGGTCAAAGGACCAGAAATATAAAGCAGGAGGTCGTCTGCATAGAAGGAGAAGTTGTTCCTTTATTTGAGCCTCAGCTTCGTTGCAGGAGGTTCTGCTGACGTTCCCTCATTTCTTTCCTCAGGGTCAGTGGAAGAACAAGTTTGAGAAAGACAACGTGTACGTCTCAGATTTCCACGTCGGTGAGCGTCGGACCTGCCCGGTCAACATGATGTACCAGGAGACTAAGTTCAGGTACCGGTTCTTCCCCGACGACCAGGTGCAGCTGCTGGAGATGCCGTACCGTGGAGACGACATCACCATGGTGATCATCCTGCCGAGCAGAGAGACCACGCTGAGTAAGGTAATCCCACCGCTCAGCCAGAGATGTTGTTCTACCTCTTTGTTACATTTTAGACCTGCTGCTCCTCCTCCTTCTCCTGCTCCTCCTCCTGATACAGAGCCTTGTGGTTCTCCACAGGAAAGACATGTTTGTACGTGAGGAGTCAGATTTTGGTGTTTCCTGTGTGTTTCAGGTGGAGGAGAGTCTGGACCTGAAGAAACTGACCCGCTGGTTGGACGAGATGAAGGAAACCACCGTCTCCGTCAGCGTCCCTCGCTTCAGGGTGGAGGACAGTTTCAGTCTGAAGGAGGAGCTGCAGGCCATGGGACTGACCGACCTGTTCAGCGCAGAGAAGGCCAGCCTGCCAGGTGAGGGGGCGGGGCCACACACACCTATGACGCAGGTGGTTTATCAGGTGTAGAGTTGTACTAAAGTGAGTGTGGGCGTTTGGGAACCAAATTGATACTCTTTCACCCACACCCCCGACCGTCTGGGAAGGGGTGGTGGGACTGGGGTTCTTAATTTCCAACAAATGGAAATTCACAAAGCTGCTACCCCCGAATCAATATGCCTCCCTCGAATACCATGCTGTCTTGGTGTCCGCTCCAGTAAAGGTCTCTGTGATTGTCATATACCGTCCACCAGGACAAATGGGTAACTTTGTGGACGAGCTTGACACACTGCTGTCTTCAATACCAGAGCATGACTGTCCCCTACTTGTCCTCGGTGACATGAACATTCACTTCGACAATTCAAAACATTTATGTAACACGGGTTCTCAGCCCCCCAACCCACACAGCTGGCAAGGTGCTTGACCTCATTCTTGTCCGAAACTGTGCCACAGAGTGCTAACAGTCACACCTCTACATGTGTCAGACCACTATTTCATTCAGTTCACAGTATGCCTAAAGGAGAAAAGCCCATTGTTCCAACACCGTTGGTCTCACACCGCCGCAACCTCCGCAACCTGTCTCCCGCTCACTTTGCCTCAGTGGTAGCTTCCGCTCTACTTTCCCTCAACACATTTTCCTCACTTGAGGTCAATGATGCCGCACAATCTCTGTGCTCTACACTAAGCTCGTGCCTGGATTGTCTGTGTTCTGTATCCACCAAGCCTGCTCGCCCAAACCAGTCCCACCCGTGGCTAACTGATACCATCTGTGGGCTTCGTACTGGTCTCAGAGCTGCTGAAAGAAAGTGGCAAAGACCCCGCCGACCTTAAGGGCTACCAACTCCTATCCTGCTTCTCAACAAGCATCAGTGCTGCCAAAACTGCATTCTATAATGACAGAATAAGCAGTGCCACTGACTCAAGGAAATTATTTTCCACTTTTAAAGCGCAACCAAATCCTCCACCACCCACAAACTTGTCTGCTGATACCTTTGCTGCCTTCTTCACAGGCAAAGTGGAGGCTATAACTAGCCAATTCTCTGAAACACTCAAACTCAACCATTGTAGCAGTCCTACTACATGCCCACTGGACCCGATTCCTACGAATCTCCTCCAAGCCATATCTCCTACTGTGGTCCCGACAATCACTCATGTGATAAATACTTCTCTGGCTTCAGGAACCTTCCCGACCGCTTTCAAAAGGGCTCGGGTTACACCCTTGTTTAAAAGACTTGACCCAACTCAAGTTGAGAACTATCGACCAGTGTCTCTTCTACCATTTTTATCCAAAACTATTGAACTGCAGTATTCAAACAGGTCTCAGAATTCCTCTCATGGAATGACCTCCTAGATCCATATCAGTCTGGTTTTAAGAGTGCCCACTCTACTGAAACGGCTCTTCTGTCTGTAACAGAAGCTCTAAGGTCAGCTAAAGCTGCAGCCCAATCCTCGGTTCTTATCCTGCTTGACCTATCAGCTGCCTTTGACACAGTCAACCACAGGATCCTGCTATCCGCTCTCTCAGCAATGGGCATCTCGAGTAAAGCACTCCTGTGGTTTGAATCCTACCTCTCGGGGCGTTCCTATAATGTTTTGTGGCAAGGACAATTATCCTCCTCCCCCTGCCTCTCCACAGGGGGCCCCAAGGCTCAGTGCTTGGGCCCCTTCTCTTCTCAATTTACACCACCTCACTGGGGCCGATCATTCGCTCGCACGGCTTCTCTTACCGCTGCTACGCAGACGATACGCAACTCTACCTATCCTTCCCGCCACGCGATCCCACCGTCTCGGCGATCACGGACTGTCTATCAGACATATCTGCATGGATGAAGTCTCGCCACCTTCAACTAAACCTCTCTAAGACTGAACTCTTGGTCATTCCGGCCAAGCAATCTATCCACCATAACTTCACACTACAAATTGGCTCCTCAACCATCACTCCAACAAGGGTGGTTAATGCCCTCCTAGCAGGTCTTCCAGCTTGTGTGGTGAAACGCTTACAAATGATTCAGAACGCAGCAGCGCGTCTGGTTTTTGATCAGCCCAAAAGGACGCATGTCCCTCCATTACTCAGTGACCTCCACTGGCTCCCCATGGCCTCCAGAATCAAATTCAACTCCATAATACATTTACATTTACTCATTTGGCAGATGCTTTTATCCAAAGCGACTTACATTTGAGGAACAACATACAAGCATCAACAGAGCGTCAAATACAGATTTACAACTGACAATATATAATACAAACTTACGTTCCTTCTCGGCCGCTACGCTCCTCCAACGAACGCCGCCTGGCTCTGCCGTCCCTTCACACAAAGCGACCTCAGTCCCTGTTCTCACCTGTGACACCACGATGGTGGAACGAGCTACCGCACGCCATCAGAGCAGGGGCGTCCCTCTCTGACTTCAAGAGGCTCTTGAAAACTCATCTCTTCCGAGAACACTTCTCTTAACACCTCTAACTTCTAACCTCTAACATGCACTTCCTGTGCTCTTCTTCTATCCCCTACAATGATCTTGTTTGATTGCACTTTTTGTTAACTCTTACTTCCTTCCCTCGGTATCTACCCCATTGATGTGATATGTACTGTGAGCTCTTACTAGTATGTTTGTCAGTTGTAGATCTGTATTTGATGCTCTGTTGATGCTTGTATGTTGTTCCTCAAATGTAAGTCGCTTTGGATAAAAGCGTCTGCCAAATGAGTAAATGTAAAGTGAGCGTGGGGCGTTTTGGAACTAACTAATGTTCAAAGATAAAGATGAACGGGTCAGAATATTTTGGTTTGATAACTTGTACAAGGTGTTGGGTGATACGGACCAATAGGAGCACAGAGCACAGATTTTATTGTCTTATGTTCTCTGAACCTGTCATGTTTCAGCTGTGACTACTTTACAGATCTGTTCAGTAATATAGTCATTCTCAGAAAGTTGGGTTTGACTCGCGCACCATGAAGTGACCTTACAGTATTTAATACAGTCTGTGTGTTTCAGGGATGCTGGAGGACGGCGGCGATGGTCTCCACATCTCAGACGCCTTCCATAAAGCCTTCCTGGAGGTCAGTTATAAACTGCTGACATCACTGACTGCTGCTCTCTGATTGGCTTCAGTAATTTGTCTGTAAATGTAATTTCCCATCTTAAAGGTCCAACAGCTCTTTTAAATCTTTCATCGTATCAGAACCAAACTCTGTTGGGTCAGTAGTTTTGGTTTGTTTGTCACCTCTGTCTGCAAGTTGTACTTTTTCTGTGCATTCAGTTTTGTAAACTTGGACAATAAACCCCCCAAAAAGCCAAGAAAACCGATTGAGGACATGAACTCGGTGTCTCCAGTGAAGCCAGAGCAGACTGGATCCTGATAAACCGGTTTCTGTTCCGCAGGTGAACGAGGAGGGCAGCGAGGCGGCAGCAGCCACCGCTGTGGTCGCCATCGGACGCTCCTTCAACTTCAACCGGGAGGTTTTCCAGGCCGACCGACCGTTCCTGCTGCTCATCAGAGAGTCGAGCATCAACACGCTGCTGTTCACCGCCCGAGTGGCCGACCCCTGCAACCAATAAAAACTCTGAGCTCAAAATCAAGTACTAACAAGTAAATGTACACGTTCCTCTGTAACAGGCAGCGTGTGTCTGACCACGTAAAAAGAATCATCACACCTGATTTCTCTTCTGTGTTTACTCCACATCCTGCAGCGTTAGCCACACGCTACATGCTACAGGTCAGATCACATAAAGGTATCATCCTTCAGATTTCACTCCTTTGGTCCTCAGTCCTGATGAGAATGTTCTTATCCAGCATGTGAATCACTGACCATTCAAACTGCTGTTTAGACGGGTAATGAAAAAAAAACAATTTATACAACTTAACTTTTAATATTTAGGACCATTTGGTCAAATTCTCATTCAAACTACTAGGATTTGCAGAAGCTGCATGTTTCAGCTCCTCTGCTCGCTTGCTAACTCACACAAACTCAATCACAGTGATCAGCGTGCCAATACGAGGTTATACACCGATCAGCCAGAACATTATGACCAGCTGCTGGCACCAGCTGCCCGAGAGGTTTGGAGATGTTCTGACCCGGTCCTCTAGCTATCACAGTTCGGTTCTTGTCAGCGTTCAGGCTGCACGCCAAAGTGACTCAAATCCGATTTTATTTTTTTTGCCCATATGTGACTCGGATCTGATCTTTTTCTGACCGTGAGAACAGGCCAGGTCACACGGAACCTGATCTTTTCCAGTTTGGAATCAGTCTGAACGCAGCTGTAGCCGTGTTTCCATCTAATTTTAAGTGAAAGTTGACATTATTCATGGCTGTAATAAAGAAGTAAAGGTTACAAACCAGAAACAAATCCAGTCTCATGGACCTGACTGAGGTCTTCAGAAATGTCTTTCAACAGCCAGGAAGACGCCGCCAGCGGAAACAGCCGATCCGGCATGTGAGGTAAATGTTCGCTACGGCAGAACTTATTCAGCAGAGATGTTCCCGTCTTCCATTTAACTCGTTAGCTCTTTTTCCAAAAACATCGAGCGAACATCGCCCTTTTTTAGACGCTTCAAAATGTGAATAAGAACACAACTTGTGAGGACACGGTGTTCACCTGCTGCCTAATACATCCCACCGCTGACCGGTGCCATGGTAACCAGGTAATCGTTACTGACTCCATGCAGTTACTCTTCATCAGCGCTTCATGAACTATGAGTGTGCAGCTGCATTGGGGTAACGAGTGCTGGTGAAGAAAGAGGCGAGTCGGTGCCGGTTGACACTTAAAGTGCTTTATTTCCTCTGAAGGAGATGTGACCTGTGAGTGATCTAGTGGTCATGGTGAAAGAAGCTTCTTCACATTTTTCTTAACTAATAATCAACCTTTGGCTCACCCGCCCCCCCCCCCCTCCCCCAACAGAGACATGCAACATAAAGATTCACATAAAACCTTTCAGGTTCTTCTACTACAGAACTTCTTAAGTACCTCCTCTTTAAAAAATGTACAGTATTAAAAGTTAATTTACTAAACTTTTTTTCTTGGACTCATTTCTGCTTTGATATATTAGGATACTTTGAGGAATCAACAGTAAAGAGTAATCTCGTTAGGTGAATATATCTAAATGATTTATAATTAGGCATGTTGTGGTCAAGGTTATTCGTATACTAAACGTTTGATTCACGCAGTAAAAAGTAAAAAAAACAAACAAAAAAAGCCAGAAGTTTCAGACTGAAGCTGAAGAAACGTGAACGTTCGGAGACTCGACCGACTCAAAGACACCGTGAAGACCAGGGGCGGCGCTGCTGTACGAGGTTGGGCTGTTTTCACAGTTTGAAGATGAAACTGGAACTGAAATGAGGGAAAGTCGGGAGCTGATCTGGAAGCAGCTTCCTCTCGACTTCAATTGGCTTGAAATGACTGAAAGCAAAAAGACCTCAGTGCAGAAAGGGGGACGCCACCCGGTCTGGACCGGTTCAGGCCAAGTTGAATTTGTTGCATAATTTGATCAGCAGCCAAAGATTTGAGATTAAATCTGAAGTGATGGTTTCTTCCCTTCGCTGCACTTCGGTCTGTTTGTTCTTCTGAAGGACGAACGTGTTCGTGTGTTTTAACTCAGAGCTGGGCAACATGTGAAACCTGTTTTACTCATCAGGAAATCCTGATGCCAGATTCTCCTTTAAGAGAAAGCGCTTCAGTTTTCTGCGGTTTAGTGTCAAAACTGCGGCAGCTGAATGTTTGAACACAGCGAATGAATCCGGAAATGTTTCAGAGTGACAGCTCACCTGCAGCATTAGCCACGCCTTCTTTTCTCTCTTTATATTGTGATGAAATGAACATTTCTGGATGTTCGGGCTGATGTTCTGAAGGCGTTGTCTTTAGTGAATAATGAAGCTCCGCTCTCAGCTGCACCGACATTTAAAACATCACTAAATTAAAACGGGTTGCAGCACAAAGATTAGCTGTTGTTAAAGTGCACAGGTGTCATAACAAAACTCAAGCTAGCGTAACAAGCGTGACTCCTTTATATCTGACCGCTGTAGCGACGCTGTGAACTGGGAAGATTTAAGCAGTTACAAACACGCCGATAACATGACCAACAGCTGTTAGCTTAGCATCAGATACATCCTGCTCGTTCTAAATGATATCGCTAAAACAGATTTCTCATTTACACTGCAGCTAAGTTTATATTTAACGTTTGATCAGTGGCCGACAGAGAGGAACATTTAGCTAATATTATTAAAAGAACATCTAACGGCTTTAATGTGTTTTTTTTTTGCTGACCTCAGTGGTTCCTCACCTGGCTGCAGTGATGAACAGGTGTAGGACCCGGTGACATCACTGCTGGGCGTGGTTACAGGTGT